GGTGCGCGTGCCCGGAAGGCGGCGCGGCGCTCTGCGTGTGCCAGTGACGGCGCACACGGGGGTGCTCCGCGCCCGACCCAGGTCCCGCAGAAGAACAAAGGCGGCGGGCTGAGTGCCGCAATCGTGAAGGCAGCGCGGGCCCCACCCCGCGCCCCGGGCATCACCCGCGCCGTGTCGGTTCTCAAATGCTCGCACGGCGCAGAATCCCTCGACCCCGTGAGAAAGCCGGGGTTCGGCTAGGGCAGGCAGATGCCAGGGGTGTCCCGAGGCTGAGTGCCCAGCGGAGGGCCGCAGGCTGGGGCCAGGGCTGCAGGTCCTCGTTGCCGCTTGGCAACGGTGTAGCTTTGCTCAGTTACGCAAATTCTCTGCGCCTGTTTTTTCCCCATCTGCAAAATGGGGGTGCGCAGCGGCACAGCTGTCCCCTGGGCTATGAGAGTGATGAGTTACTGGTGTAGAAGGCTGTGACGGTACCTGGCCCGCGGCCAGCGGGCCCTGCTCGGCCGCCGGACAGCTTGGAGAGCAGTCCTCGCCCTGCCGCGGCTCAGCGCTACAAGTTACCTGCGCTCGCCCTCATGCACGAGGCCAAGGAGATCGCAGGATGGCCAAGGGCCAGGAAGGGCCGAGTCCTGAGGCCGAGCCATTGCCCTCCACACGTCCCTCCCAGCTTCACTCCGTCCCGCATTCCTAATCCACGCTCCGCTCCTTCAGGTCCTCGAAGCACAAGACAGAGGTGTCACGGCCGAAGGGAGCGCTCGTGCTGCCTTTGTGTGGTGGGGTGAGCGGGCATCAGAATTCTCACCAGAGCCCTAGATCTGTATCTGGTTTACCTCTTCTTGCCTCACTGAGCTGCTGTTCCCTTTTTTTTTTTTTTATTTTGAGAATTACTTATGCACACAGAATTAGGGTCCAGGCCAGAGGTGGGGGTGAGAGGACTCACCGGAGACAGGAGCAGAACAGGTGGATCTGCTGAAACACACTGCTGAGGGGCAGCGGGGAGACAGGCGGGGTCTGCTGCACCCTGTGGGTCACCCCCAGGCTTGTGCTGGGTGGCTGCGCGCAGCGGCATAGCTGCACTTCAACCCAGCGCCACCAGGGGGCCCAGCTGCTGCTTCCTTTACAGCAGAAAGGGGTGGCCAGGTCCTTTGGGCCTGTCGGGAGGATGGTGTGAACCAGCCAGCGCCCTTGCTATAAGCCAGCTCGTCATTAAAGTAGCTGAATGCAAATCACGGCGGTTCTGTCTGACTGTAGGCCTCTGTGGCCCCATGAGTGCTTGTCCCTCTAACCAGGGGGTGGCGGCAAGGGGCAGCTGACTGAGGGAGGGTTACCTCGCAAGACACAAGCAGGCAGGCTCCGCGGTCCTGGGGACTGAGTGGGAGTGGGGAGTGCAAGTGGACAGGAAAGAGGCCTGCGCCGAGGCAGACGGAGACAGACGAGTGTGCGGACGGAGGCCCGTGAACGCTGGCTGGCGGCCGACCCCCGGCCTGCGGCTCCCACGAGTCTGGGAAGGCCCCGACCGGCCTGCCACACCCCCCGGGCCAACACCACCTCATCACCCACTTCCATAGGAGGCCGCGGTGCGAGACCCCGCGCACCTGCCCGGGAGCCCGCGGAGGCTGGCAGCGCCGGCCGACCGACGCTAGAGGGAGTGGAAGGTGCAGGAGGCAGCCCTGCCTCAAGCTGTGGGTTTGCAATTCATCAGTCAGGAAGTGAGGCCCACAGACGACAGGCGGAAGGGCGGCCTGGGGCGGGAGTGCTGAGGCGCGCAGAGGGGGCTTTGGGGGGCTGGGGGCTTGGGGGGCCATGGGTGTCAGCGCCAGAGGTTGCTGTTAACCTAGCAAAACAGGTCTGGGCAACATGCATGCCCACAGGCAGCTGACTATAGCTGCAGTGAGAGCAGAAGTCAGAAGACATGAGGTGGCCAAACAGGCTCTAAAACACCTCAGGAAGCAGGTGGAGCGGGTGAGTGACCCTGGACTTCGGGACAGCATCCGAGCCTCCCTGGACAGTCTACAAGGTAAGAGAAAGGTTGGCTCCCAACTCGGGGAGTAGCAGTGACCAGAAGTGGCCGATCGTCTATCACTTCCCTGCCAGCTACTTCTAGGGCCCAGGGCAGCTGGGACCCGGGGGAGAGCACATCTGGGAAAGGGATGGGAGCAGACAGGGCAGGCGCCCCTCCGCTCTCCCCAACTCTGGGCCTGCTCTCAAGGGGCCAAAGTTCAGGTCACTGCTGAGCTGACCTTTCTGGCAGTGGGGGCATGGGGGGGGGCGTGGGGGCAGGCTGGGACAGGCCCCTGGTTGCGCGGACCCTGCCTGGGAGCCCAGGGCAGGAAGCAGCCTGGGCCAGGAGGTTCTGGGACCGGAGCGTGTGCTCATTCCCAGGACCCACGAAGGATCAGTGACCTCTTGTTCTCCAGCTGCGGAGAGAGCCACACGCGCGCACACACACACACACAGACCTCAGGCTTGCGGACGGCCAAGCGAACACCCTCCCCGTGCTGTGCTCAGGCGAGGTGCGGAGGGGCCTCAGCACTCTTCTGGGCCCTTCTCCTCCCCCATGTGCCTGTTCCTGTCTCCCCACACACCTTCCGCTCTACCTCCTCAGTGCCATTAGAGCAAGTGATGACAACACAGGGAGGAAGTGCTGCCATGGCAACACCATCGCCACATCCTCCGGCCCACAGCCCTCGGTGCTGTGGCAGGCCGGCAGGCAGCGACGGTTTCTCGCCGTCCGCAGGCCCCACCGCTACAGCACTGGCAGGGCTGGAGGCCCCTGGCCTCACCCACCCGAGCTAACACACAGGCTGCTTTGCCCAGGAAGGCGCTGGGAGCTCACCCCCCATCCTGCGTCCCTTCCAGCCTCTCCGTGTGGGGCCCCGACGCAGGGGCCCCTTCTGCTGGGAGAGGCCCAGAGGCCCCCGGAGACCCGAGCAGAAAGTGGGGAAGGCACAGTTTGGTCCGGGCTCTCAGGGGAACAGTCTGATGCCCTTACCCTCAACCCACCTTGGTGATTAAAAGGGCTGACTTGGGGGTGGCGGCCCCCTGGGAACTGCCAGGGAGGGAGAGGAGAGCTAAGCCCCTGCCCCTAGGCAAAAAAAGGGGAGGGCCTATGCCCAGGTGGGGGTGGGGGGCGGCCTGCTCAGCTCTGCAGGAGGAGGGACAGGGCCTGACGTGGCTGATGAGCTCCCTTCTTTCCTTATAAGTGATTTCTTCTTCTCCTCCCCTAAAATCAGGGTTCTGTTCCCATTGAACATGAAAAAAAAAAAAAAAAAACAACTGAGGCCCCAAAGGAAGGATAATTAAGCCAGAATCAACAGCTCTTCACCCCCTGTCCCAGGCTGAAAAATGTCCTCTCCTGGGGATGGTGTCATCCTGGTGCAGGGAGTGGAGGGGGAGAAGTTGCTGACCTCAGTGGAGGGCCTGCCAGGTGGTGGGCACAGGTGGGGGGGGGCAACAGAGGGCACCCAGAGTCCTGGCTCCACCTCCCACCCTCACCCCCTGCCAGGCCTCGCAGGCTTGGAGATTGCCGCTGGCTCCTGCCTCCAAGAGCCGCCCACGACAGCACTTATTATAGTCTGGGCTGCGTCAGGAGGTGGGACGCCGAATTAGGGGAATGTTGAGACTCCCCATGTCCTAGGGAGGGGTCTCCAAGGCTTGGGGAGACTTCTGGCGACTCCCACCCTCTCCTCACTGAGTCTCAGCCTCTGCTCCCATTGGCCTAACCCCTTCATCCTTCTCCCTGGACTGGGGGAAATTGAGCACTGAACCCCAAGGTCCCTAGAGGTGTGAGGGACACAGGACAGACATCACCCCTTCTTTCTACCTCCTCTTCAACCTTCTAAAAGAGCTCCAGCCGAAAACCTCAGGAGACTGAGTGGAAAAACAGAAGAGACTGCTGCCCAGTGCCTCATCTGAGGGGCGCTTATAGCTGGGGGTGCTAAGTACCCCACGCGTGGGTAACGGGGTTGAGGACAGAGCCTCCAGTAACCCCAAACCCCCTGGCGGGTCCCCCGCCCGGCATACCCAAGATCCATCCTCTCTGCTTATCCCTGCTGTTTCTGAGGCTCTGGGAGCTGCGGTTGCTATGGAGACGGGATGCATTTTGGTACTGGGGGTGTCAATCTGTACACGTTTTTCCTTTTCCTTCCACCTTGACCTGGAGCCTTTGACTCACTTTTCCGCCCAGGCTCCCGGGCCCCCAGACGCTCCCCTCCCGGGCCCCCTCCCTCCCGCACCCCCCCTCCCCTGCTAAGTCCCAAGCTTGTCCCGGGCCACTGCTCAGGTTCACTTTGGGACAGTTGGCCTCAAGTCTTGGCCCTGTCGGTCTGTTGGGGAGGGGGGGGTTGGGTCACAGGGAGACGAATGCTCTAAGGCCTGAGGGAGAAGAGGGGGTCCTGGGAAAGCCATATGGGGCTTCCCACCTTCCCACTTCAAGTTCTGGGGAATGCCAGCGCCCCAACGCGCTGGCCTTCGCCGCGACTCCCGCCCATGGCTGCCGTCCCGGGGTCCGCAAATGCAGCCGCCGCCGCGCTCCCCCGCCTTGGCGCGCTCGCTCGGGGAGGGGGCTCGTCACTGGGCGGGTGAGTCCGAGTCCCAGGGAATCCAGCCCGGGGTTTAGCGGAGAAATCCAGTCCTGGATTTTGCGCCGCCTTCGCAGACGGTCTTGCTGGTGGGGGGGGAGATAGTGGGGGGGTGGGGGCCGCCTCCTCCTCAATGTGAGGGGAGCGCCCGGACACAGCGCGCATCCGGACCCAGCCGAGCCTCGGCGAGCCCCCGACCCTTCGCCCGGCCCTCGCCCCCTCCCCGGGACGCCCCGGGGCCGCCCC